ACTTGAAAATTCTCAAATTTGAGCCTCCATCCGATGTCGATGATCTGTAAGTTTGTTTTGGAAAAGAGAAAAAGGTCCAGATTTTTTGCGAAGTTGATCATCACAACAATTCGCTACCTATGAGAGAATTGATTAGAAATTTGCTCGAGTTTTTTCATGTCTTAAGGAATCTTAAGTTTTCAATTGCATAAAAACATTAACCTTTCTACAAAGAGGCATCCACGAGCGCTTTTTTAAACAGTATTATAAAGATTTTTCTAAGATGCTTGCTTTTGTGGGGATTGTTAGTTTTCATAAATTTTCTTCCAGTTTCTTCATTGTACTGAACTCAAACTTCAGAAACTAGTCTAAGTCGCCTCTTCACTGGTTGTATCTGGTTCTTTTTTCATGACTTTTGTGGTCCCACCAGCAAATCATCACATTTTACCAGGTAGAGCTTCAACCCTAAGAATCTTTTTTCTAGCGAAGAATGGAGGTCCGGTCTTGTCGAGGGTGCGAAAAGATCCATTTATCCCGTGCTCTTCTACTTATTTTCGAATATCGACGCCCTGAAACAAAGAGCTTACCTGGCTAAATATCTGGTAAAGGTAGGTCAATACCGGAAATCATAATGCTGATGAGAGGTTAAAGAAACAGTAATCCCTTTTGAAGGTTGAAATCCCGAGCGACGTGCACGATGTAGACACTCAGGAAATGCAAAATGAGCTGGCGCAACTGATGGAAAGATTCAAAGTTGGAAAATTGCCAAATATTGCTCGAACAAAGAAAATTTGTTTTAAAATTTTCTTTTCAGGTTACCCATGCCAGTGTATTGGATGTGCAGCAAGATACTTTGCTAATCGAAGACATCAAGGCGGATTTGAAGTCGATGACTCTTGAAAAAGAAGTGTTATCGAGAAAAATCGAAAAGACAATGAAGAAGATTGAAAACTTGCCGTCGCTCAAAAGGTAGAATTTTTCGGCGGATGTCCCTCCTATTATTTATGGTACCAAAATTTGCTTGATTTTTAGGCAAATGGCAGCAGCCGTAGATCTTCGCATACAGAAAAATCGTCTCAATGAGCTGGAAATGCAACGATTTGAACAACGCGATGGGGTAGGTCTTTTATCGCAAGAAATGGTAAATCTTGATAAAAGAAGTTTTATATGGAAACGATTAGGTAGATTCGATAGAGCCATTCCCCAAGCGGCAGCTCATATGATTCAATCGTTGGCGAGAAACTGACCTGCAAACTCTCGCCCAGACAGTGCTTTGTGGCGCCAGGTACGGTAATGGGCGAGAGTTCCAAGATGAATTTCTTGATCACGAATGAATCATATGCATTGCCGTCTGAACATTTGTTTAGATGAAGTGTTCCACCTTGTTATCTTTAATGCTTTATCTTTCCAAAATATTTTATA